CATGTCCGACTCAATGATGCGGCTTACATCCGTCGGACATCAAGCAATTTTTTACACGGGGAGATTGGAATATTCATCGGGACAATTTACTTTTTCCTTCACCTTATAAAATAGACTCGTATTATAACACTTTCTTTTATTTGTAATTTGTTAAATTAATTTTCTTATTTTTTTATTTTATTTCTGACGTTTATTATTTTTCCTTGGTGCGATTGTCCGGCTGCGTGCTTTGCTCGCATCCTTTCTTTACACATAGATTTTAGATTTTTCACCAAGGTGGCATCGCCCTGATTCCGTTAGGGTCAGTACGCGATTTGACCTTCGGTTTTAGTATATAGTATCTTAGTAATGGTTACTGTAACTTTGTTCACTTTGAGAAATAAAAATAAAAATAAAAATAACTTATTACCAAATAATTTTTAAAGAATCTAGTTGGTGTAATTTACATGACGTTTTTACATGTCAAAACCATTATTAAAATCCCTTTCTGAACTCGATGTAAACTTTTAGATCAGTCAAAGATACTTCTATTATAATATGTTAAAAGCTTCATTATAAGGAAAAAGTTTTAATTTTTTGAAAAGTGTTATGCACTTGTGCCAAGGAAGCTTAACCCGCCTGTCGTACATTCTGTACATGCCCATATTTTTAAAATCATATAGTTATTAAAATATAGACATCACTAAAAAAAAGAAATTTTAAATTGTTTAATAAAAGAATTTGACAAAACAGATACACTTTTAAATTTATTTTTTTAAAAATCAAGTCAATTAAAATATTCTTTAGTGCAGAGCTTATTTATTTTTAGAACATTTTTTATAATGTAGTTGGTCGCAAAATGTGACTAGATGTGTATAAGAGACAGCCATATATTTAGTGATACGGAATTGTGCATTTTTCCGTATCCTATTATGATACGTTATTTCTAAGGAAAAAAATCGTATAAAAACTTTATAAAAAACGTATCCAATTTTTTTATAGGGCAATCCCAACTTTACGCGCACTCCTTTTCAAAACACACAAAACTACTACGCAAATACACAAAAAAATATAAACATGAATTTAAAGCCCCTTATTTTGTAGCTACAAACCTTACACTAATTTAAGATACATTACGTACCAAAATATTTTATCTTTTAGTAATATTACTCCTATCAATAATTCACTTTATAGTACCCCAACTTCTCCCTCATCAAGTAACAATTTGCAACTTATTACCGACAAATTTCTTAGCAACAAATCAAACAACAACTAATTAATATAGTAGTTCTTTACAACTTATACAGATTTTCTATTTTATACGGACGGATCAGTCAAACAAATTGGCTCCGAAAAATGTACTAGCGGACACGGTTTGATCCAATGCCTTATCACTAGTCCAAAAACAGAATTCAAAGGATCGACTCTTTTTTTCCCGTCTTCCAGCAAAAGCGAAGCCATGGGCATCTTGACAGCTTTAATTACGTTACCCTACAACTGCAGATGCACTATATACACAGATTCAGCCAATTGTATCAATAGATCCAACAATCAACTCAATACACCTACAATAAGCCCGCGCAGACAACCAAAACAAAACAACTTCTTAATTTGGAGACTTATTTTCTGGATATTAGAACACCACAATATTTTCCTTTCGTAAAGTCAAAGCGCACGCTAATAATCACTTCAACGATATAGCCGATCGCTTAGCGAAAGCAGCTGCCGATATTAAAGACCCTATAATTGTCAACTTTAAATTCTTTTCTCCAACTTCTTTTGATAGGTTTCTCCATTATATGATATTCGAAATGGAACGGCACAGTCATTCAAGCCAAAATTTTTAACTCGTTATTCAACAAGAACAATAAATTCTTAAGGGAAACATCGATTGACACTACACTAATAAATGGGTTCAATTTAATCTTACTGACTCTCCTACGAATGAACGCCTGTCTAGGATCAAGAATCAAAAAATCAAATTTCATATATCACACCTTAGATATTTCGCAACGTAATTATCCGTTATTCTATCCGTCAAGCCCTCTCTTATGTTTAGAATGTTAATACGTATGAAGATTCAAACCAACATATCGGCTTATGACCAAAACATTTCGACAAAATCACTCGCATTATGGACAAACAAAAAGACATTTTATACAACATAATATTGAAGTACGCTACAGGACTCACCTCCGATCTCAAAGATCGCATTAATAATTCACTTCTTTTTAATTTATCGGAAGACAATATTAATTCTTCATCTCTAAACGTCAATGATTCTTTCTACCTCTTGTTACACAATCTCATTCCAACAGAATTAACCAACTTATTATATAACTATATTGACAAAAAACGCATACGCGACGTAGCCTTACACCATCATATGGCACGACCGTGCAAAAACTGTCAAAAGTTGGGAACTATCGAATAACATCACTAAAATCAAAAAGAAAAACCACTACAAAATTCAAGACAAACGTAATATAATAACGTAACTGACGATAATACAATAAGATATAAAAAACCAGATTTACCTTACTCTAATACTAATACACATGTCCGACTCAATGATGCGGCTTACATCCGTCGGACATCAAGCAATTTTTTACACGGGGAGATTGGAATATTCATCGGGACAATTTACTTTTTCCTTCACCTTATAAAATAGACTCGTATTATAACACTTTCTTTTATTTGTAATTTGTTAAATTAATTTTCTTATTTTTTTATTTTATTTCTGACGTTTATTATTTTTCCTTGGTGCGATTGTCCGGCTGCGTGCTTTGCTCGCATCCTTTCTTTACACATAGATTTTAGATTTTTCACCAAGGTGGCATCGCCCTGATTCCGTTAGGGTCAGTACGCGATTTGACCTTCGGTTTTAGTATATAGTATCTTAGTAATGGTTACTGTAACTTTGTTCACTTTGAGAAATAAAAATAAAAATAAAAATAACTTATTACCAAATAATTTTTAAAGAATCTAGTTGGTGTAATTTACATGACGTTTTTACATGTCAAAACCATTATTAAAATCCCTTTCTGAACTCGATGTAAACTTTTAGATCAGTCAAAGATACTTCTATTATAATATGTTAAAAGCTTCATTATAAGGAAAAAGTTTTAATTTTTTGAAAAGTGTTATGCACTTGTGCCAAGGAAGCTTAACCCGCCTGTCGTACATTCTGTACATGCCCATATTTTTAAAATCATATAGTTATTAAAATATAGACATCACTAAAAAAAAGAAATTTTAAATTGTTTAATAAAAGAATTTGACAAAACAGATACACTTTTAAATTTATTTTTTTAAAAATCAAGTCAATTAAAATATTCTTTAGTGCAGAGCTTATTTATTTTTAGAACATTTTTTATAATGTAGTTGGTCGCAAAATGTGACTGCATTCCTACATCTGCACTTGGTTTAGTCGCAAAATTTAAACGGATTTATGTTTGGGCCGAGTCCAGATAATCTGCAATGGCAGCAAACTACATAGTTCTCCTTATTTTCCTATTTTACTTGTTTTACACGGTAAATTTCAAGTTTTTCTCTTAGGATTCTTTAGATCCGCGTTAGATTAGAGATTACAGAACTTCGAACTAGAGTGCGTTGACGCACCAACCTATCCTAGTTTTGTTCGATTCCAACCATTCCATCTAAAGGTTTTTACTCGAAGCCCGTTGTGAAGAACTTTGAAAATCATGTGATCCGGATAAATCCATACCGGAAATTAAAATTGAAGTTTTCTTGTAATTGTATGTCGATCCTTTCTTATAGTTAGGTTGCATTAATAACAAACAATTGCCGATTGAATTTTCTTGGCGCCAAGAAAATTTTTTCTATTTAAGATTTGAATGAAAAGAAATATAGGGTTAGTACTTAAAGTAAAGTTTCAATCATTTTCTATATAAGAAATCACATAAATAAGTTAAAGGTCACAGAATAGAGTAGGCATGATATTTTATAAATGATTCAATACTTTTTTTTTTTAATAATAAATTATTTATATTGAATAGATCTAATTATTTTATTGTAACACTTTGTTTTGTCGAATGATTTTATTTAAGATTATCTTTTTTAATCTATATTCTATTATATAGCTAACAAAAAAAATGAGAAATGACGTCAAAAATTACATAAAACGTTTTTTTGGGTACGATAAAAAAAAAATATGCTACTAGCTCAATAAAGTTCACGTTTGAAAGATAAAAATTTTTTTTTTTTTTTTTTGAAATTAGATATTTAGATACTAAATATAATAAATATGAAACTTATTATCATCTATCAATATATTTTTTCAGTTATAATTTCATAATCCAATTACATAATATGATTTTTACGCTTACGTGTACATTTTTGGATTAATAATATTTTTTGATTTATGCAATATTCATCTTAAAATAGTAAATTTTATTGTACATCATCTTATAAAAATAGTTCCGTAATGTATCACAAAAAAATTATTGTTTATTTCAATTAAATCTAGGCCAGAATCGGTTAAGATTGACCAATAGTTACACTAAAAAGATGCGATTTTTTTTTAGAATATATCATTAATAATATATTTATCGTCAATTATTTATATTTTTATTTATTATATTTATATTATATTATTTCAATAATAATAATAATAATAATAAACAAAACAAAAATTCAGTGAAGCAGTTGCTTTTCTGCGGCAAATTTGCCTATATACAAAATTTACAGAACTTTTGAATCTATACATATTGTATACCGCAAAATCTACGAAATCTACATTATTTTTATTAAAAACAAACGTTTTCATCTTTTTCTATCGTTCAGAAAGATTTTGTATTGATATTAAAAAGTGCATCATTGATGTTGATTCTTTTTATAAAATAAAAAAAATGTGCAATTAATGAAGATTTATTTAACCTTTAATTATTTATAATGATAATATTAATTGGTTATATTATACAAAATTGGGGATTTATATATATATATATATAATAATTATATCTTTAAATTTTTTTCTAAATTCTTATATTAAAGGTCATTTAATAATAATTTTGATTGTTATTTCGACCCTAAAAATAAAAAATAAAATAAAAAAAAAAGGTTTGATGAGAAAATAAAACATGATTATCGTGTCACAGAAAAAAGTTAAAATTATTTTATACCGTATATGTAGAGCTCATCTGTGGATTATAGGGAACCGAAGTAGCCGTTCTCATATTCATCTGAGGATTAGCATAATTCATCCTCTCATTCCCATTGTCGTTTATATTATTTTTCTTTCTATTATTGTTATTAGCGTTCAAACTTTCATAAGAATTAGCATTCCTCACAGAAGGTTTTGGTATCTCAGTATTGTTTGAAGGGGGTGTGTTATTAAATGAGGGCGGAGGTGAGTTTTTATATTGAGGAATGTAGTCAGGTTGAGGTATGTTATTAAGTGGAAGAGTGTTGTCAGGTCTGTTAGGTGTGTTAACAATTGGAAGAGTGTTGTCAGGTCGGGGTGTGTTATTAAATGGGGGAGTGTTGTCAGGTCGAGGTGTGTTATTAAATGGGGGCGTGTTGTCAGGTCGGGGTTTGTTGTTGGAAGGAGGTATGTAATTGGAGGGAGGAGTTTTAGGCAACTTTCTATCATCGATGATGACTGAATAGTCCTCGTTTGATGAAAGAAGTCTCTCAAGTTCCTCTTTCTGTTTATTAATTCTTCTAAGTTTATTATTTCTACAAAGTTGCAAACGGATGGTACACTCGGTAACATCAGCGAGGGCGTCATTTATTTCTAGCTCTATCTCTGCTTCCTCAGCATATTTTGGCGTTATCTTTCCCTTAGCCTTAACACCATTATTATCAAGGGAATAATTCATTTCTACTTTATAATGACTGAGAACGTTACGCCACTTGAGTTTCCAATTGGCAGTTGGGTTATCACTGACATTATATTGATCGAACAATTTTTTAATAGCTTCAGAAAATCTTTCGGAGCGACGTTTTGCTTCTTCGTTGACCAAATATCTCCCTACAAAGAAAGCGATAGCATTTATACCTTCTATCGCGAAGGGAGCAATAAATCCTCCAAAAAGTTGAGACAAAAAGATAATAAAAAAAATAAAAATAAAAGCAATAGCGATGAAAGCATATAAAAGACCCTTTTTTGCTCTGTCACTCAGTAGTGGGTTTTCAGCGACTACTCTATTAATTTCTTCAAGACGAATATCTAATTCCTCTCTATCAAGATAACCATGCATATCAAGACACCATTCCGTTTCAAAATAATACTTTGGCGTAAAGTAATTACAATCAAGAGTATTTTCTTCTCTAAGACGATTTAATACTATTTTCATATTGAAGTATGATCTTAGAAAAAGCCGTTAATGAGTGAGGAAAAAAAAAAATCTTTGTGTTATTTATTAAAAAAAAGTTTTGTATTAAAAATAAAATTTCATGAGATTTTTGATTAGAATCATATTAGGTTATATATATATATGTTATCTGTTATCTTTTTACTTTTGGAATCAATGATAATAAATTTAATGGTTGTGTTATTATTTATATGTGAATGAGTTTTGTAAGTATTGAAAAGGAAATTTTTGCGAATCGTTTCGTTTCGTGTACAACAATGTGTCCTTGTTGAAGTCAAAAACCGGTAATTTGGTAAAACGTCGCACACGACTAATTCGCAATTTTTCCTCCGTACCGCCAAATTTTCGTTTAACAATAAACAATAATTTAAGTAATTTGGAGTTTTTGGATGATATATTAAAAAAAAAAAGAAGAAGAAAGAAAAAATTTTAAAGTCAACAAATAGAATACATCATAAGACTTTCCATTAATTTGATATAAATTCTATGGATATCTTCGGTATCACAAATTTGCGGAAAACTACCAAATATTTTATCTTTATTGTCTATATTAATTTATGATAATTAATAATTATATTTTACACTTAAAATAACGAATTTATTTAACGATTAATTATTTGTTAATTAGATAACTTTTGTCTAGTAATATTAATTTTTTTTTTTTTTTTCTAGATCGAATTTTGTCCAACTTTTCGGTTATTAGATTTTTGTGATTCTTTCTTCGAAAATTGCACAAATATCAGATAATGAATTCAACGATTCATGAGTTATGAATATTTATATTACGCGATGTTAGTTAACAATGCAATTATACACCAATAATTTCCTTAAAAATTTGTATAATAATGTACTTCCAGTAATATACTACATGTTAAGATCAAAACAAATCCGTTCTTCTTGTTCTTTTAAGAGCCCCCCTTTTGAATACTCATTAATTGGTATAATTTTTATATAAGACCAACGAAAAACAAATATTATTGGATCATTAAAACAAACAGATCGACACTTATGAATGAAAGAAGGGATTTAATGTGTTATGTTACCCATAATGTTTGTGAAACAGATTTTTTATTTTATTTCCATTTATATACATGAAGCAAATTATTGATTTGTTTTAACCGTTCTAGCCACCAATTAATATGGTGAAACTTAATCAATATTGTATTTGTTACATGTGAACGTTTAAATGGTTAGTTTTTTCTCATTATGTTTCATTTTATTAACTAATTATGGTTTTTTGAATTAAAAAAAAAAAAAATTGATTTTTTTTTTAATTTACTTTTGTTAATTTGATTGATAATAAGATTTTACAGTTATAAGAAATTTAAGAAATTTTAATCCCGTTACAACTCCATATTTTTATTTTTATTTTTATTTATTATTATTGTTATTATTATTATTATTATTATGAAAAAAATGCCACGTTTACGGAAAATATAACAAACCGAATAATTTTCATCATTTAAAGATTAGGAAAATTTCCGTGAAAATGTTTCATTTAAAAAAAAAAACGCAGTTACTGCGATAAAACAAATCTACAATTTTGGACAATTGTATATATTTATATATTATATGAATTTGTGTATAACAAACAATAATTAATTTTTTATGCATAAAGTCAACGGCGGGATGTCACAATAACTAACGTCATCTTTCTTTGTAATTTTAGGCATAACATAATAAAGATATGAGTTAATGATGTTGAAGAAATGAAAGAAAATTTTTATAATAAAATTTGGGCTCTGATTAAACCATATACGTGATTGAATTATTATATTTTGTCATAATATTCTTTTGAAATAAATTATAAATTCATCCATATATAAACTGAATGTATGAAGAGCCTATTTAATCATAGCCATATTTCTCAAACAATAATACAAAATGTATATTTTATGATTTCCTTTTTTTTTTAATTTTAGTTTTCTTTTATTAACTGACACTTAGGGATGACAATGATATAAAGTTTATAATATCGTATATACTTAAAAATAAACGCCTCTGGCTAGAATTATGAAGATTTTGGTAAAAAGAGGATGTTAAGAGAATTAAACGCCCTAATGTTACATAGAAAGTGGACTTGTCCGATCATTCATTGACAAATAATTTGATCGGTTACAGTAGTACAATTTACAAACACAACGCCATTTTTTTGATTTGTAACACCGAAAATTTATTAACTGCGCCTCACTCCTTACTGCGCCTTAAGTGCCGAAATGTAAAAGAAGTTCAACAAACTGATTACAAAATGCATTAATAATGCAAGCTTATATTATTATATAACACCTTTGTAAATCTTTCCCTCTATTTTTTTTCAAGTAGTACGGTTAGAATTTAAAACAAAAAAATTTATATCGTTGAAAATATTCCTTGCTTTCTTATTAATACTGTAAAATGAATCAAGGGAAAATTTCATGATAGTCAATACTATCGGCAAAATGGTTTGTCGATTCGCTAAAATGGTTTCGGAAAAATGTGATGTCGTGAAATGGCAAGTAGGTAAAATGACGTCAGTAAATTTTATGTCGGTGAAACGGTAATACGAATTTGTAATCGGACAAAGAGAATTCTAACAAAAAATTCTGTTTATTACTTTCATACGAAAATATTGTCGAATCAATTATTATTTTGTCTATAATATATGTAAATTTTATCGGAGTATAGAGCCGGTTTGTACATGCATAAAAAAACTTACTTTCAAATTTTAAAATTTTATTATGGCCAAAATTCGCTATGAATTAATTTAAGCAAAAACATTAATAGATTTAAGCATTCCCAATAATTTAGAAAAAAAAATACGAATACATACAACAAATTGTTGAGATGAATTTCTTGTAAAAGATGAAAATTAGAGGCAATAAAATTATTAAATAATACATTTTAATAAAGAGGGTAAGAGACAAAAAGATTTGTCAAGAAGAATGTTTGGTCATATAATATTGTAAACATTATATTAGAAATTATTTAAAAGAAAATTTTTCAAATTGGACATCTAAGGATGGTAGTTTGGTACGGAGATATCGGGTGGAATCGTGTGTTTCTGGTAGGATAGTAGAATGGATTCTATTTAATAATTTACAAAATATTGGAAATTTATACCGTTATACGGCAGATTGGATTGATGGCGAATATTTTTAATGGAATAATCGAGAACAAAAAAAGATTTAAAAAGCAAAAAGTAATACTTAAAGATTGAAAAATGGGGAAAACACTAACAGAATTGGTTTGATGATATTAACTTGTTCGGGTGTTTATAAAGGTATAGGAGGTATTACAATACTCGTTCGTGTATCTCAAGAAAAATTTTACTACGCGTATATATTGGTTGTGTAACATCCAAATTCGCATATATTAAATAGAAATAGATATAACTCTGACATATTACCGCGCCCGTAATTTCTTTCATTAAACGCCGCTTTAAAAAAAGGGGTAAACTTTTTTTTTATAGCGACCTTAAAGTACTAGAGAAAGAATTTTTTACAATTGATCCCTTTCCCAAAATTAAAAAAAATGGTATATCGAAATCCATTAATAAATAAAAGAATTTTAAAGTATAAATAAAGCTTGATAAAGTTTCATAACTTTGTACTTTTTAATTTGAGAACCCGCGTCAAAATCAGCTGATCGTTGGTCGACAATCAAAAGTTACGTCTACCATTCACGTTCTTGAAGAACTAAGAAAAGAATAACATTAATTTCATTTTATTTGTATTATTCATCATCTTTTATTACTGAAAATTCAAACGATTGATCAATGCATGATAAAATTTATACTACTTGAGACATAAAACATAACCAAAATTATAATAATTTATCTTATGTGAAGTCGGTAAGATCAAAATTACAATAATTTCGGCCAGAGTTATAAATAGCGATATACAGTATACGTCATGTGATTTGTAATTTTTTTTTTATTTATAATTCTGGCCAAATTTTATAATTCCGGCCTAAATTATTATGCATTATTTTCTCCCGTTTTCCCGAATCTGGGGGGAGTATGTTGAACGAAGAATCGAGTTGGAGTGGTAAACATAAACCGACTGAATAGCTAGACAATACTATCATGTGCCGTACAATATTTGTACAAGCGTACTAAGTATTTTACTATTAAACTAAATAAAATTATACTCAATTAAAAGCACCATTTGAGTAGAAAAAGATTTAATATTAGTTTAATAAAATATATTGTATTATTATAGAAATTAATAATTTAAGTGGAATTATGCAAAATAAAACTTTAACTAAGGTGATTCTAATGATATTAAAATAAAAATTATTATTAATGAGGAGTTAAAAAAGTCACATACTTTCAGTACCCTCTCAGATTTTTGAATAATAAAATTTGTCTAACCTTAAATAAATAAAATTTTGTTGTTACTTAAAATTCTTTTAAATTATGAAATAAAATTAACAAATATATCAAAAAGCAAATAAATAATTTTTTTATTCATTTAGAATAATAATAATACTTATCTTTTTATAATCATGAACACCACATGATGTGTGTACAGTATTATTATTAATTAACACAATCTACATTGCTTAATAAAAATAAAAATAAAAAATTATTACAGTATACACATTATCATTAATGTATAATGTGATTGTATTGCATTATTTCATTATCATTTTTATTATGTAAAACAAATGAGATCAATGTAATATTCTTTCAACAACTATTAAATGGGACTATGATTTAATTAATCAAAGCTGTTATGGTCATGATACCAATTATAATGACAACCATTTATATAAGTTATGTGAAAAGTGTAAAATGAAACTAAAAAATAATAGAAAAGACTATAAGATTATAAAAAAAAACTGTCTTAATTTTGAATATGTTCGGAATCAACTTACATAAATGAGTTCAAATAGATCTTATTCGAAATCGAGCCACATTTATGAAGTCAACGTCGAGTTCGTGTTTTAAAACAAAACGCTTCTACTAAATTAGAGAAAATCGGAGAAAAGAGGTGCAATTTAGTTATTAGCGAATTTCTTAGGATTAAATTGATGCATTAGCCATCACCTCGTATATCGGGTTGCATACGGTTCAGCAAGTTCCTAATCGTAGTTAAAAATACGCCATCTTATTTATATACAGTATATTTTCCGAGATCCTAGCTTACGTAAATTCTGATGGAATTCTTTAACCGAGAGTATACCCGAAATAAATGTTTAAAATTAAATTTTATCCAAATTTTAATTAATAGATTCGTAAAATATTCATTTCTTGGCGGAAATTCTATGCATCTACTATATAACCAAATTATAACTACGTTATAAAGATAAAATTGTTTAAATAATGAAGTTCGGGCATAACAACTGCAATTCTCGCTAATATAGTTATTATGATAGACAATTTGCCTAGTTTTGTAATCCCAATTTATGGCAGATTTAGGCTTTAATACGATCGGCAGTCACCAAATCTTTTAGTGGTGTTGTATAGAGGTTGGAACCGGATTTAAAAAATAAATCTGGTTTTATTTTACAGCTGATTTTCATAATATACAGGACACCTAGTCACATACGAGAGACAACTCGGTACATTCGGCAAAACTCGTAAAGTTCAGAATAAGGTAAAAATTATATTTGGAGCGCACAGTGGTGTAGTTTTTATTTTATTCTGAGTTATACCGAGTTTCTCTCGGCATGGAGTAAAAATGATGGGTGTCCAACTTATAGTATCCGGTTTCTTCGAATCCTTCGGATTTATATCCGGTTTTATTCGGTTTTTCTTCATCCAGATTTGATAAATCCAGTTTCCTTCGTTCCATCCGAATTTATTATATCCGGTTTCTTTCGATTTTCGGATTTAAATCTGAATATCGAAATTACTGTATCATTAATTCATTTAAGTTATCGTGACATTCCATCATGACTTGAGAATATTAATTATTACATAAGTCATCGTAATATCCCTCCGTGACTCGAGAATGATTATTAATCATTATTCATTATGTACGAATGATGTACGAAATGTAACATATTTACGGAATTTCTTAAACGATAAAAATTATTCAGTTTGTTATATTTCCATAAACGTGAAATTTCTTAGGAAATATTCCGATTAAATTTCTTATAGAGGTAAGATCTAAGCTAACAATCAAATTAACAAATTAAGTTTTTTTAAATCAAAACCCATAATTAGCGCCATTTAGCGTTCACATGTGAAAATATTAAGTTTTTCATCACGTTGATATGATTAGATTTGGTGAATCATTTGGTTCATGCATTTGATTCAAAAATGGAAATAAAATAATGAATTCTGTTTCACAAACCCCATGAAACAATAACACTATTCATGCACTGAAATTCGCCGATCTGTTTGTACAAATTTGTTATTATTATAAGTACTCATTATACAAATTTTAAAAGAAATATGATTGTATTGTTAACTTGATATTACTAAATATATTAAAATATCATGAATCGTGTTTCATTCTAATGGGTGTAGGATCGAAGAAATAATTAAAATAATCCACTAACCGGATGATTGAACAAATCCAACCTAAAAGAAAAAAATTTTGAATTAATACTGCTAAACGAAATCTAAGTATAAAATATAATTAAAATTAATAAATTAGTAATATGACAATAAAAATAAATATTAGTAGAGTTCCACAAATTTGTAATACCTTAAAATCTAAATTTAATGAGCAAGTTTATGTAAGATAATACTAAAAAGTTTTGCAATGCATTCTATTTGTTTACTTTTGAAATTTTTTCTTTTTTTTTTTTAGTAATCCCAAAAAGACTCAATTGCTAAAAATAGAACTTTCCTTAAACGGATAATATTCCTAGAATTTATCCGGATTATTCTATTATCCTAACTGTATCCGATTAGTTTTAAAACGGATATCCGGTTTTAAATTTGAGAGATGGATAATCCTATGAAACTTTACGGATAATCCGCTAAATATCTAGATTTAGAATGATCACAAGTAAACGGTGCTAAATTGATAATGTCTGCAAAAATTTGAATAAAGTCCTAAAACATTGGTTAAGTACATATTTTTTTTTTTTTGTATTTCAATATGTTAAAATTTGAATTTTAATAAAATTTATAGAATCAAGAAATTTTTAATATCGAGGTGATTAAATATCTATAAATTAAATCTAAATGACTAAATGATCTCGTCTAGGATAATCGGATAATCCGGTGAAAGCTCTAACTAAAAAATATTGTTCATTGTTTAATGTGACGTTTTATGCATATGCATAATCATCATAACCATCAGTTTGTAAAATAATTTTTTTAAAGTAAAATGGATAAAATATAAAAGCATACATATATGCATATAACCTATTATAGTTCTATACTAGTTCTTACAATAAAATAATCAAACAATCTCATGAAACATCATTTTATTTTTAATTTCATTCATTTCTCTGTTTGGCTTTATTAAAAAAAATCTTATAAATAATATATTTACCTCAAAGATTTTTTTTTTTTTCCTCACTCATTAACGGCTTTTTCTAAGATCATACTTCAATATGAAAATATTATTAAATCGTCTTAAAAAAGAAGAAACTTTTGACTGTAATTATTTTACGCCAAAGTATTATTTTGAAACGGAATGGTTTCTTGACATGCATGGTTATATTGATAGGGAGGAATTAGACGTTCGTTTTGAAGAAATTAATAAAATAGTCACTGAAAACCCACTACTAAGTGAAAGAGCAAAAAAGGGTCTTTTATATGTTTTCATCGCTCTTAGCTTTATTTTTATTTTGCTTATTATCTTTGCTGCTCAAGTTTTTGGAGGTTATGTTGCTCCAATCGTGATACAAATTATAAATTCTATTGCTTTCTTTGTGGCGAGATATTTGATCGATGAAGAAGCAAAACGTCGCTCCGAAAGATTTTATGAAGCTATTAAAAAATTGTTCGACAAATATAATAAAAAAGATAACCCAACTGCCAATTGGAAACTCAAGTGGCGTAAAGTTATCACTCATTTCAATTTAGATCAATCCTCAAATGATATAACGCCAAAGTATGCTGAAGAAGCAGAAATAGAGTTAGAAATAAATGACGTCCTCGCTGAAATTACCGAGTGTACCATCCGTTTGCACCTTTATAGTAAAGAAAAACTTGAAAGAATTACTAAAGAGAAAGAGGAACTTGAGAGACTTCTTTCATCAAACGAGGACTATTCAATTACCATCGATGATAAGAAATTGCCTGAAATTCCTTTCAATTACGTACAACCTTCCAACAACACACCCCGACTTAACAACACGCCCCCATTTAATAACACACCTCAACCTGACAATACACCCCCATTTAATAACACACCTCAACCTGACAATACACCCATATTTAATAACACACCTCAACCTGACAATACGCCCACATTTAATAACACATCCCCTTCCAACAATACTGAAATAGAAAGATGAATAATATAAACGACAATGGAAATGAGAGGATGAATTATGCTAATCCTCAGATGAATATGAAACGTCTTCCCTATAATTACGGTATAAAATTATTTTACCTTTTTTTTGTGACACGATAATCATGTTTTATTACAATGTAAGGGTCGAAATTATCTAGTGAATTTATTAATTATAAGGCGCAATATATTATATAGTTTAGGTGTTTAAATTTTTAAAGCATTTTATTAGTATTACGTCCGTAATTGACATTAAAATATTCTTTTAGGGATTTATTTTATTGGCCATTCTATATTTTACTTAATTGAGGAACTGAGGAAACGTCCGTAATTGACGTGAAACTATTCTTATGTATATATTTATGTGTTATTTTATTTTATATGGGTTATATCATTTTAGTATATAATTTCGTATGACGTTATTTTATTGGTTATTACAATGGATTACTCGAATTAGGACCAAGAGAGAGTTATGAAATGAAATAAACGGAGAGGGATTCGCCTAAATCAGAGGATCAATTCTTTTTTTGCCCTTTTTCTTATGATGAAAAAGTGCCTCATTAATTATTTTGAATAATGACTTATTAGAAATTGTTAATAAGGGGGAACTATCGAAATTTAGTTCTAGAAATTTAGAAATAGACTTTTTGGGAAACTAAGCATTAGTATAATTTTGTTATTGATATTGTGAAATTGTATTATTTAATAAAAGAATATTGTTGTGGCTTAAGGTGGCAAACGTCTGTATGACGGCTTAAGCTCTACAAGCCAATAATTATTTATAATAGCTCAATAATATTATATACTTGCACTACCGAAAATAAACTTCTCTTTCTAGAATTACGCCTCAATATCCTGGCCAAAATTACGTGATATAATTAGTTGATTTAAAAAGGTATTAACTTCTAAAAATGATTTATTGTAAATATAATTCTTTTCTTTATATTTATAAAAAAAATTCATATTTATAAAAAAAAATAAATGTTCTTAAGTTGAAGTTTGTACACCATACAAGTTAGCAGCCGAAACTAGAGATCATGAGAAACCTGTTCACATGACAAAATATTACGGTAGCTTCGTGGGACCAAGTTTTACAAATATCGTTCAAGAAACAGCACAAATTTTTCGGATCAAAACCCGGGGAATCGCTATGTTCAGGTGACTGAAAACTCAATTCAAAGACCGAAAGGAACACATGCGAACAAAAAACTAAAACTGGAAATTCTTTATTTTGCTACACACGAAGATCGGTGTCAGTGTGTCACATGAACTACCGATAAAGTTGACCAATTCCCAAACTTCCGTTAAAGAAAAGAAAAAGGATGAAAGAAGAAATAGGGGAATAAAAAGAAAGACGAGCCTCAGAACAAATGTTCTTGCGAAAAACTAAACTGAAAAAAATCTATGACACGACGCGGTCGGTCTTTCATTAACAAAATTGCTGGAGACATAGTTGTTTATTTATATAGATTGAGTTTAAGTTTTAGTTTTATTTAGGTCGAATTCCAGGTTTATATACCTGATGAACGTGTCTTAACGTGAAAGATCACGGTTGTATTTAGTATGTAATATGTACATTACACAACGTGTGGATGGTTTTTCGCTTTAGAACTATGTTCTTCTCGTTTTGCATCATCAACAGGTCAACTTCATTTGTTAATAAAGGCAATAAATTAAAAAGGAAAATAAAGTGGAATAATAAATTATGAAACATTAACGAATACTTTAGTTTAATCTTCTTATTCGATTTATGGGAACTCGTACAGGTTTTTTGATACATCTTTATTATTCCTAGTGGTCTACGAAGAAAATCAGAAAATTGAAGAGTTTTTCTATAAATTTACCTTACCAAAAATACAACTACCTAAAACAAGAAAAATTGAATCAAATATTATCAGACCAATACTTGCAAATGTAATAACTTAGATTGATAAAAAAAAATGACATGTATGACGTGTATACGTATCGCTGGAGTGCGCGGTCAATAGCAATAACTGCCAAAACAAAATTTCTTTTAATAGTCAACAATTTATTTAGTTATTAATAAAGAACAAAACTCATTTGCTATCATTTAGTGAATATTATGCGTAAAATCCATCTATTATAAAATTACATGAAATTGGATTTTACAGCCAATGTCAGATAAGGTTGCCCCATAATTATCGTAACTGTCCCTAACAAAATTTTCTTTCACAAAATGTTTTAATGAAGAACCATACTGTACATATCAAAGTGTTGTAGGTTATCATATTCTTTTTTTGTTGTTAGCATGAGTGAAAATAACAAAAGGCAATACTATAGTTTACGAAAAATATCGTAGAGCATGGAATTAATAAATTATGTAATTGATTGCATTAATCAATTGAACTTAAAATATACGTAAAATTTGTGGCCAAAAAACTCATGATAGATTTGAGAAAATTCCAACAAAAAAAAGTTATTGGTTAGTTACATCACTTCCGTCACTTCCGTCACGTGATCGATTAACTTGATTCACATGACGATCACAGGGACGATGATTTTCTGCGGTGACAAAATACTAACTCCGTCTGCGGTAAAAATAAATTCTGCGTTTTGCCATGCATTAAAAAAATTACTAATTTCTGCAGTATTTCTGTGATTTTTTTGTTAAATTCTGTACGAAATTAACAATTCTGCATTTATCAAAATTACGTCTAAAAAAATAAACATCTAATCTTTACCAAATTAGGCAATTTACATTATTAATTCTGGTTGGAATTAACTAATTTAGTAATGATCTACAATCACACTAATTCCGCGATTGGTACTCGATTCTGCATTTTCTGCGGCATTCCGTGAAATGCAGAAAATCATTGTCCCTAGACGATCAACACCGGCCAGCCAATAATTTTGTTTCACGCTACATATAACTCGTATATTTAAAATAGTGCTGAAATTATCGAACTGATAAAGCAATTTTATTTTTGTTCTTTCAAATCATGAAATTTTTTTATGAATCATTATTTATGCAATAATCTATTAATACAGTAAAACATACTGTAACTGCAATAAACTACATACAAAAAATTACTTGTAATTCTACAATTACCTCCGTTCCATATGAAAAAATATCGTACAGTTCCTACTAAAAGAAAAATTCTAATGAAACTTAATGTATCTTAAGTATTATCAATTTCAGATGATACAAATCTTGCTAGTAATCTTCAATACTGTTTAGTGAGCCAGACCGTTGATATTAATGTGAAATATCACACAATAGCTGTTGTATCGGAGGGATTTCCTGCAAAAAGCTATTTTATTATTAGTGTAAGTTTCAAACAAAACTTTACAGGGGATACCTAATATTTTCAATAATTTTATTAATTTTATGAATATTTATTGTTTCTGTTCACAGACTTCATATTGTTTTTCATTCTTTCGCTTACGGGAAGCAAGTTCATCTTAATTGCCAATCCGCCACTAAAATTGATTAGTAGATCCGTCGCAGTCGCATGTGTCGCATGTTCTTATATGAATGACGTCGATCGGCATCCGATTTTGTACTACATAAGTCATGCTTAATGCAACCATAATTTACCAATCAATAATGCCAAACGTGAATATGTCACAAAAAAAAATTTTTTTCGTTTGTTACAAAATTTAAAAAGTTTACTTTGGAGGAAGTTACCATTCCAGCTCATATTTTAGGTAACTTTACACCAATTATTCGCGAATTTTGCAAATTTTACAAGGTTTTTTTGTACTATTACATAATATACGGTATATTCTTGCTTAGATTAATAAAATAATATTTTAAAAAAAAAGAAAATAAAAAATTTTTTTTTTTTTTTTGGCAGTTTTATAAAACTATACCTAAGTAATGTAACACCTTTTTATAATGTATTTTTAGGGCATTTATATTACAACAAAAACTTGTGCAAATACCATTCAGAAGCAATAGTATTTAATATAAAAATGTCCGACGAGATTAATTATAGATTGCCGATCATTTTGTATCGCTGAGTGGCGAATCGGCAATTAAATGTTTTATATAAAGTTGATTGATCATCCACTTGCGCTACTAATAAAGAAACTGTAGGACTGGTTTGCACTTTTTCTAAGAGCCTCTAAGGTTAATTTTTCATAAATTTCATTGGAATTTTTGCAGTCCACAAAGGCACAAGGTCCATTATTTCGCTTGCAATTCTTGTCATTAGTTATTAAGAGAAGTATAAACTAAAGTCGGATCTATTTAAACTAAAACCGGATCTTGGTTGAGAAAGAGATGTTAAACTTTCATGAAAATTTGAACGTATATCGTTATGTAGTGCCCACTTTGTATATGAGCTTAAATTAAATCACATGACATACAAATTAGCCAATAATATTAATTTACCTATACCGTTACAACTGTGTTACAACAAATCATTTTTTCATATTAAAAATAATTTTTAAAAATCTATTAAATAATGAACTTTAACGTGGAATATTACTGTAAACTATTTTTATTTATAATTAAACGCGTTTTTTTAATATTCTTTACATGAAATTTTAGGTACAGTAGATCGGTCCACGTAATTTCATATGGGTTAGTTCGGAGATATATGCATTCCCATATATCTTACGTGGATCCACGTAAAATTTTGTGGATCTACTCCGAAAATACCATGTGTTTCGATCACAGAAAATATTGGTATTCAGATTTCCACATATATTTGATGTGGATTTTGTGGATTTCCATGTGGATTTTACGTGGAAAAAATTTCCTGATGTAGTTAAAATGAAACAAGACTATGGACACTATGAACGACTAATAAGAGTCATTTAACAAGTATGGAAACACACATTTAATTTTATTAATTTTTTATTAATATTGTTGAAAATATTTTGTGAAAAAAATTAGTAATGAAATTATCGTACGATTTTTTTTTTAAATTATTTTTCAATTTTTTACAGGGTGATTTCAGTACTATTGTTAAATGAAAATATGCTTAGGAATCAATCTTAAAGTAAAGTTGTTCAACAGGTATATGAAACCAATAAAATATTAATTTTTATTAATACAAATTTGAAATATTTTATAAAATTAATTAATAATACTTTTATAGGAAATCACTGTTTTTTTTAGCGTTTTTTTTTTTAGAATGTGTAGGACCGTTTTTTAATATTAAATATAATTATGCTGTTCGGATATTTTATGTATTAATATTTTTTTTTTTGTTTTTTTTTTTTAACAT